TTTTCGAAAGAAATTTTTTAATATGTAATTTTTTCAAATTTCGAAATTTTTTGGATACAATTTTTATCATGTGATCATAAAATGATTGGCTTTTAATTGTTTAAACATGTGAACTCTGCCAATACTATTATAGTTTCGAAATAAATCGAAATTTTTACCAAAATCAATCAAAATTTTTACTTTTAATCGAAATAAAATTTACGTGTCCCTGGTTTGGGAGTATACTCGATGCATGAGCACGTGATCACGAACACTGGGTAAAAAAAATTATACACATCTTGACTAAATAATAACTTGTAATATATAGTACAAATAATAAATATATTAATATACATATATTACCTAATAATTAAGTAGTAATTAAGTTATTATTTAGTTAAAATAATTTTTTACCAATGCGAGTATAAACTTTTATTATTATAATTATTTTATCTGAAATTCTACTAAACATTTTATAGCATTATTAACGCAATAAAAATGAATCATTATCATTCGAAATGTTGATTTTATTTGTAATTGATAACATCGATTTTATTTTTATTAATGATAAATAAATAAACGAACGAATAGAGGAAGAAAACGAAGAAAAAAACGAAACAATAAAAAAGATCATGCTGCAAATAAAAGTTTGCAATCAAATGACAACCGAAATATACTAATAAAAAAAATTAATGGATCTTTTTTTCGGAAAAAATTTAAAGTTCGATAATTAAAAAAAAAAAGAACGAACGAAGCGAATAAAATTAAATTCACGAAAACGATTGACTTCTATAAATTTACGTTATATATTATATTTTTTATCATTTTACAAGCATATACTATAATCAATATATTCTTCAAATTCTAATCCTTCGCTAACATGATTCGAATTTGAAGAAATACTTTCCTCAAAAGCAGTTTGTTCTCCAAAAGTCGTTTGTTCTTCAAAAGCCATTTGTTCTTCGAATGCTGTTGGTTCTTCAAAAGCCGTTGGTTTTTCAAATGCTGTTGGTTCTTCAAAAGCCGTTTGGTCTTCAGAAGTTTGCTCCTCGCAAGAAGGTTGTTTACCTTCCTTTTTTTTGGGTTCATAAACATACTCTGGATACATCAATTTATGTCTTTTAGCTGCGATTTTCGCTAAAATCGTAAACAGCTGTTTGACTTGAATTGGTAGTGTTTTCCAGCGTCGGCTTGCCTTCTTCGAAATTTCATGTGCATTCATTGATTTTATTCGAACGGGATCCTGTTCCTTCATGTATGCAATGTATTCCTTTCGAAACAAAATGAATTTATTTTGTGGTCTCGGTGGTTTTAGTGTATTTTTCTTTTGTTCACGTGGAGAAAGAATCTCCTCTAATGATAAAGTAAGTTCATAAGGGAGTTTTGGGAGTTTTTTTAATAATTCATTTGCTAAGGTCAATAAGTCATTAAGTTCCATCCGTAGAGAGCTTGGAGATGGCGAAGGGTCCTCAAGAACTATTGTGGCAAATTCTTCGTTAGTTTTTGAGTACATTTTGCATCCGCAATATTTTTTCTTTGCGAAAAATGAGATCTTATATAATGAAAAGTGCTAACAGCTGAGTAATTAGAAATCTATAATTCGATAACAAAATAATTAATTACCGGACTTGTGTCTGCGCAAGTCAACATCTCAAAGGAAAATTACTTGAAGTTCTTAATTAATAATAATCTAGGATTTAAAAATCCTATTTGATAAAATTTCATTATGCACTTTAACAATTAATCCTTTAATCTGAACGTGTCTCACTTCTCACTGGCTCTAGCCCTAACATCTTGTTAAAAGATATAATTAAAACCTTCTTTGCCAATTTGTTGATATTCATATATTTATTTATACTTTTATTCTCTTTTTATCTTTTCTAAATTATTGATTGGTTTTTTTTTCTTTTTTATTCGGCCGTTCTCTTTCATACGATTCCATTCCGTTATCATATGGGCCAAAACTTCTCCGTCCAATGACCCTGCTTAATACAAATTTGGAATAACTCCAAAATAGCTATTTGTGCTTTACGAAAATCTTCATACACAAAGTGATTTTTGGACAGCATCTAAACACATTTAAATTAGTTGGATCATCCTTGTTACAAAATTCCGTACTTTTGGAAATTTTTAGAAAGATTGTGAATACCCTTAATAACACATTAGTCGTGACAACATTTTGTTTTTGTCTAGAGGAATATTAAAAATAGAAAAGGTTTTTGTTTTTTTTTTTACAATATAATTCATCTTTTAATATAATCCATATCTTTAATTCATCTCCAAATTTGCGGAATTGATCTATAACGATGACGATATATTTGACCGTTTAATCCGGTGTAATGGTTCGGAAAATCGGACTTTATGGAAATTTTTGGCTTATTGTGGCTCATGGAAACCGTGCATCACTTTTTAAAATATATCTACGTACGTAAGTACGTACATACATGTGAAATCTTAGTTACATTAGCCTTTTATGCGTACAACGTGTTTTAAACTAGCATTTAACAAAACACGTGGGTTGCATTCATACTGAAACGCCAACAATTATTATACAAAAGAATCCACAACCTAGGAGCGTACATTATATCATTAAATATATTTGACTTAATGAAAAAAATTAACAAAGCAAACTTCTCTAAAAATACATTGTACGTATGAAGGCGTGTGCATTAACATAATTTTGATTTAATAAGAATGTCTATTTGCACGAACCAATCGAACAGAAATTAGATTTTACCGCAGATAGATTTCTGTCAGAGATTTTAGGAAAATAGAGAATCAATCAATACAAAGCACGAGCTTGGTCGTCAGAAAATTTTGATACATTAGTAGTTAGACCAAATGTTGCGCAGAAATAGAATTTTTGATGTCACTGAAATTAAATTTAATTACCGCAGAATTTGATGTTTCTTAAAACGGATTAAAACCTTAGCATCACTAATCACATCAAAAGACCTTATTTAATTAGTTAATTATTTATACGTACTATATTTACCAATAAAAATAATTTATAGTTATTGTGAAGCAGTTATTGACGACTACACTATGTTTTCATTTGTATAGTTTATGTCATCAATTTAAACTTTTTTCT